AAGCTTGGCAGATCCCATGGCAGGCAAACCCTCCACCTAGGTGGAGGGACAAACATGCCAGGCAGACAGAACTTAAGTGAGAAGTTTTATTAGAAAGGGGAGGGAAAGGGAAGAAGAGAGAAAAAAGGTAAAGAGACAGAGAGAGGACAGGAGAGAAGAGGGAGACAGGAAAAGTCCTATCTACCCCAGGGGATTAGCGGGAAAGAGAAAAGCAGAAAGAGAGTGAAAAGAGAGCGTAAGTGGACAGAGATCTGTCTTTTAAAGGGGTCCTTTGCACCTGGGCTGACCAGGGTGCTGCCTGAGTACATTGTGCCAGGTAACTGGGATAAGCCACCATAATGCCTGAATCCTTACACCCATGGTTATCTTTATCTCTGGCTCTCAGTTAAGCTCATCGTGGGAAGGGAAGTTCATTGATACAGACTTCCTTCCTGCTGCAGTATTTACAAACTCTCCATTCTTGGTAAATTGGAGTTAACCCACTAGACAGGTCTCCCCCAGAGCCTAATTGCTCTGTCCCCTTCCCTCTTTAGTCAAGGGGCTGTTATGCGGGCATGGCCACTGGCCTCGGAGTGCTATTGTTCCTTGCCCTTGCCCACACCTGTATCCACAGTGCTTTATGAACTCCCTGATTACCCAGCTTCCTGGATCTGCTTCCTGCTGGGGCCCTGCAGGATATACAGTAGATGCCAATGGGGGGGGTGGCTGTGAGGCTCCCTGCTGTGCTGACACCTCAGACCCCTAGTCAGGCTCCTTGCCAGTCTTTTAATAGAACCTTGCACAGGGCTCCCAAAAGGTCCAGTGTGACCTCTCATAACTGATAACCAGTCTCTTCCCTGTGCTTTATACCCTTAAAGTCTTGAACTGGTTTACTTCCTCAGCCCTCAGCCCAGAACTTTCTCCTCAAGCCAAGGTTTTGGAACTTGCTTTTGAGTCAATATTTTCCTGCTTTAGGTTCTTTTGTGTGGTCTTACACACACACCTTTCTGTGCTTTCTGGAGAGTTCCTCGTCAAGGCCCAACTCCCCTGTCATCTCTTCTCAGCTAAAAGCAGTATTTCCTCTTGGGTTCTAGAACACTTGGCTACCCTTCTCTGGCATCACTCACCAACCTCAGTGTTGAACAGTGTGGGTTTTTAAGTGTATATCTATGCTGTACCATAGCTTCAGCTCCTTGGAAGACAGGTTCTGCAGCCCCTCAAACCAAACATGGCACCTCATACCGTCTCTGTACTCAGAAGCACTTGTGACATGGATAGATGGATGGACAGATGACCATTCTTTGTGGCTTTGTTCATTATTCACCAGCCTCACTAGAACACCTTCAGTTTTTACTTCTTATCATGTGTTTTCAAGTCTTGGAACACAAAGAGGGCTAGTGATAACAGCTAATAATAACATACAAGTATTTGAATTAATATTCCGAAAAACATTTAGTTGATAATTGTGGTAATACTTGGGATTACAAGTATACCAAAAGTTTCAGTGTATTACTCTATCTTTTTAGCCTGTTGATATTTAAAGGAAAAGAACAAATCCAGAGAATTCCCTAGCCAAAAGTGTTAGAAGTGGGAAAGTCTTTCAAAATCCTGTGTATTGCAAACAATATTTGTCCATTCTATTATTCAACGTCATAGTGTTCAACAAAATGTGATAATCTTTAGGAAAAATTAGTTCAGCATTTTGGCTATAAAGACCAGCACTATCACATTCTACTTGTTTATAAGGAAATTCTGTGGATGAAAAACTTATTAAAATGACACGTGTCCCATACTATATAAGCTATACATAATTGTAAATAAAAAAAGTCTACAAGAGTTAGCAACTGGAAAAGAAACCTCTCTCTCTCTCTCCAACTTTCCTTCTCTCCCTCCTCTTCTCCCTCATTTTCTTTTCCTCCTTCTTTCTCTTGATTACTAGGCTCCTACTAAATTCTCTGACACTGATTTTGATGACTAAATTTGGTTTCTACCATTCAACTATTTTAAGGTTCTGCTAACATTTCCTTCCTAAAATTCCTCCAATGGACTCTGCCTCTGGAGAGAGGCCTTGTGGTAGCAGCAGACTTCTAAAGCCCTTCACTCTTGGTTCCTGATAGACCTCTTGAGTTCTTGTTCGCTATGTCTGCTCTTGTTCAGTAGTGTCACCAATGTAGGAAACTTCTGTCAAACAGGCCCTTCAAGAAAACCATTTGGTTCTCCCTTAAAAAGAAATATAGTAGTGAATCCTGTTGATCCATCCACGTGCTTGAGAATCACTTGAAAGACACGGAGAAGAAAAGTGCATTGTTATTAAAAGGCTTTGCATTCAATCATTTTCATTTGGGAGGGGAGTTGCTGGATTTGTTTGGTTGTCATTTTTGGATCTTCTGTTCCTAACCTAGAACTATGTGGCCCAGGGAATAGGTTTTTGCTGCTCAGGGTGAAGCAGCATGAAAGAACCAACCACTGTGTTTATGGAGGATTCAAAATTATGAAGAGCATTGTTAGAGGAATCCTCCAATCCAGATGGTTCCTAGTAAAAAGAACAGCAGAATACTCAAATGCCTTCCTTAATATCAATTGTCGATTAATGTGACTTGAGCTCTCGTGCTTCTCCTGTTGTCTGTCATTAGTGCTAGGCAGCATGGAGCCTCTGAGGAGAGAGGACAGCCTCTTATCACTGAGGTCTCAGATCAACCATCCCTCAAATGGCTAAGCTTTTTCCTGACTACTTAGCATATGTACAATAACCATAAGTTACTCCTTATTCTAAATTCATCACCATCCTTACTATCACTTAGTATATGTGATACATAATTTTTATTTTTAGCCTTGATTTTCATTTGGTAGAAGCGTCAACTGAATAATCATTAGACCAAAAAGGAAATGAATGTCAAACTAGCCTTAATAGAATTTTGTTGGTGAAAGCCACACATTTGATTATCTTATGTTGGATATGCTTTGTTAAGATAGCAAAAGACAGATTGTGCTTACATAGCCAAGAAGTCACTGTCCATTTTATAAATTCTAAAGCAATGGAAAAAAAAACAAATTTTGTTGTTTATAAAGTGCTATGAAAATTGAGAATTGAATACCAGTAAATATTGCCCTACTCTCAGTGGTATTTTCTATTGTACATTCCTGTTAAAACAGATGCTTTCAGAGAAACCTGAAAATGAGTCTTACAAAGTCAGTAAGGGAAATGAAACTCTTCAGTTCAGCTTCCCACCCTCTAACCCTCTAATGGGACTACCAACTCTGTGACTATATGTAATCATTATGAACTCTCCTTTAGTATATAATTAATCTACTCATTTAACACATTTATAGATTCAGGTGTTTTAGCAGTAAACACAGATAAGACCATTCCTCATAAAACTTTCAGATGAATGAGGAATAAGGGTATCAAATAGGTAAGCACCAATAACCATGCATGAGTGGTGATGCCAGACATAAAGGAAACACTGTGAGCTCTGAGGACAGACAGATGAAGGCTATTCTGTCCTGGGTTTGTGGAAAAAAATCTCAAGATAAGTATTTTGAATTAAAATAAAAAATTGCCAAGTGCTGGCTAGGGGTAGTGGCTATCTCTGTTGTCAGCTTGACACACATGAGATGAGGTGACCCTACTGAGAAACTGCTTCCATTAGATTGGCCCGTAAGCATATCTGTGGGATATTTTCTTGCTTGCTAATTGATTCGGGAGGACCCAGGCCACTGTGAACTATGTAATCCCTTGATAGATGGACCTGGGCTATAGAAGAAAGGTAGCTGAGCAAGTTGGTTATCTGAGGTCCTCTATAGTTTCTGCTTCAAGTTCTAGCTTTAGTTCCTGTCCTGGATTCCTTTGATGATAGACCCATATGTAATCCATCTTATGTAATCCATAAGATAAACCCTGCCCTCCCCAAATAGCTTTCCATCAGGGTGTTTCTCACAACAGGAAAGCAAACTAAAACAATAAAGGATAGCAAAGAGGAGAAAGTGAGGATGTATGACATAAAACAAAAGATCAGCTTAGTGTAACAGCCCTGAAGAAATGTCCTTCAGACCACACAGGTGATTTTCACTTTAAAACAGGAAAAAGAAAAAGGGGGGGGGCTTAAATATACTTGGTTTACGGTTAGTTGTAAATAATTCATGTGACATGGAGCGTGAAAATCGTTTTATTACCTTGATATGGCCAAAATCAACAATAGAAAATAAGCTTATGGCATTATTAAATATTTTAGGCTAAAATTTCAAATTTAGTCATTCTGATCTAATCTAAGGACCTGAATACTGTAAACAAAGCTGTCCAGAAGCATGAGGGCTGAGTGTCAGAACTTAAATACCACTAACTAGATGCTCTTATTATGGCCTAATTCCTTTAAAACATCTCTTTGAAGGGAGCTGAAGAAATGGCTCTGTAGTTAAGAGTACTACTCATTCCTTTTCCACAGGACATATTACCTATATTAGGCAGTTTTGGTGCCCTCCTCTAGCCTGCATGGACACTGCACTCATCTGCACAAACATATATGCATATGTAATTAAGAGTGAAAATAAAATCTTAAGAAAAACTCATTGAGGGCTTTCAACATTTTCTCCTTATTGTGTCTGAAATGATCTTTTTTGGCACAAAGCAGAAAAGTGTAACCAAATTGACAAGTTATTGGCACTTTACTTTTCCAAAATGTTTTATTATTTATTCATTTATTATTTCTGTATATATATTTGTATACATGTGCCTGGGTGAGCTTATGTGTACTGTGTGTTTATAGGTGCTGTCAGATGCCAGAAGAAGGCACTAATCCCTTGGAACTGTAGTTTCAAGGGTTGTGAGTATGGATGCTGGGAGCCAACATAGGTCCTCTGCAAGAGCAGCAAGTACACTTAACAGATGAGTGATCTCTCCAGCCACATTGGCCGCTGTTCAGATGTGCTCACCAGGATCTGGTCATTGTCTAGCTCTGACTTTTGATCACTTGCCAAATCAATAATGGAAAATAAATGCTTGATCATTCTGTTTCCATTCATAGTTGTAAATCAAGATGGCCAGCCTCTCATTGAAGGAAAACTTAAAGAGAAACAAGTGAGATGGAAGTTCATCAAGAGGTGGAAAACTCGTTATTTTACATTGGCTGGAAACCAACTTCTGTTTCAGAAAGGAAAATCTGTGAGTTTTTGTGGCGCATTTTAAACTTGAATTGTTTTTCTTTCCTTCAAAATCCTATAGATGATGTCTTAGGGTTTCTGTTGCTGTGAAGAGACATCATGGAAGAGGGAACTGGAATTGACATGTAAAATTAAAAAATAATAATAATAATAATAATAATAAAATAAAAAGAGACATCATGATCACAGCAGCTCTTATAAGGAAAACATTAATTGGGGCTGGCTTACAGTTCAGAGGTCAGTCCATTGTCATCATGGTGGGACATGGTAGCATGCAGGCAGACATGGTGCTGGAGAAGTAGCTGAGAGTCCTACATCTGGATCAGCAGACAGCAGGAAGATAACTGTCTTCCAAGACCACACCTACTCCAACAAGGCACCACCTCCTAATACTGTCACTCCCTATGAGCCAAACCACAGTTTGGCCTGACTCAGGTCTCTAAAAGATTAGGAAAATTCCCCAAGCTGCTGAGAGTGACAATAAAGCTGTGCTCTTTCCTCTGTTCCCTAAGACAAGAACACTATGGGGGGGAGGTATTGAGACAGGGTGGGATTATATAGCATTAGCTGGTCTTGAACTTATGGTGATCATCTTGCCTCTGCCTCCAGAGTGCTAAGATTAGGGTGTGCCACCACACCAGGCACCAGTGTGTGGTGGTGGTGGTAGTGGTGGTAATGGTAGTGGTGGTGATGGTGGTGAACATGGTGGTGGTGGTATTCTTGAGAGACAATCTCACTGTGTAGTCCTGGCTGGTCTCAAACTCAAGAGTTCCGGTGTTTACACTGAGCCTGCCATTATGTTTCATTCTGAAAAGATGGTCAGGGTCACACAGATCGCCTTTCCTCTTTATGATCTATGGTGCATGAATGGAGTGATATCATCCACAGTGGTGAGGAGATCTTTTTTAGCACTGACTCAAATGTTGGCCTCTTCTGGAAACATACAGGCACACTCAGAAATCATGTTTTAACAGCTGTGTGGACATCCACTAGCTCAGTCAGGTTGACCCATATCTTTAACCATTGTATAAACTATTGCCTTACTAATAAATTAAAGGGGGCAAAGTATTTACAAGTTAACAATATTCTCTGGACAAATGCATTATGTCATTAGGATTCTCACTATAGACGTTACTGAAATATTTTACTCAGCAAGAGTCAAGTATGTGAATTATGATGAATTCTGAGCAAGTATTTCTTTAATAAGACCTCAGTCAAAATTTTGTGATAATTTGAACTTATGAAGGGTTCTCGGTCTGTGTCATATATACGAGGCTTTCCTCTGGCTAAAAAGCTTTTCAGAGTGTAAATATTATATTCAATTTTAACAGTTAAATTGGACGTTAAAGACAAAGGGGTTTTTGTCATATGACATTTCTCTTTTATTTAGATGTAAACCTACTAAATTTCTTGGACAAATGACATGTGACTTTTGAACTTCAACCCCAATTATTGCCAATGTTCTTCTATGATACTTGTACAAATTTACTTTTTTTAATTTATCGATCCCAGTTCCCTCTCTCTCCCTCCCTCTTTCCCTCTCCCCCACTCACATGTACCCCCATCACCTTCCCCTCCCACCCTCCCCCACTCCACATGTAGGGTGATGCCTTCCAGGAGGGGTCATCTAAATCTGTCAAGTCATTTGGACTAGGCCTTCTTTCCTGTCTCTAGGTTAAGGGAGTATCCCTATATGGGGTATGTGCTCCCAGAGTCCTTTTGTGTACAGGGGATACTGCCCAAGGTCCCTTAGACTGCTCAGTCCTTCTAGCTGAGACCCATGTTCAGGAGGTCTGAGTCAGTCCCATGCTGGATTCCCAGTTATCAGTCTAGGGGCCCATTAGCTCCTCCTTGTTCAGGTCAGCTGTCTCTGTGGATTTCTGTAGCCTGGTCTTGTCCTCCCTCTCTGCATCTGGATTCCAGTTCAGCTCAGTGTTTAGCTGTGGGTGTCTGCTTCTCTTTCCATGAGCTACTAGATGAGGGCTCAATGATAGTGGATATGTTAGTCATCAATCTCATTCTCAGGGAAGGGCATTTATGGTAGCCTTTACACTGTTGCTCAATTTCTTAGTTGGGGTCAGTCTTGTAGGTCTCTGGACATTTCTCCAGATTCAGTTTTCTCTTCAAACCTATAATAGCTCCCTCTTTTATTCTCTCTCTGTCTCTCTCTCTCTATATATATATATATATATATATATCCCCTCTTATCTATTACTCCCCTGACTCAAACTTCCTAGTCCCATATGCTTTCCTCTCATCCCCTTCTCTTCCTCCTAGTCCCCTCTCCACTCACTGCCCTCCCCACTCCCCATATGCTCAAGAGATCTTCTCCCTTTCTGTGAGGGACCTTATATGAATCTCTTAGAATCCTCCTTGTATCCTAGTTTCTCTGGTGGTGTGAAAATTATGACAGGTGATCCTTTGATCTAGGTCTAAAATCCATATATGAGTGAGTACATACCATGTTCCTCTTTTTGTGACTGGGTTACCTCATTCAGGATGGTTTCTTCAAGTCCCATCCACTTGCCTGCGAATTTCAAGATTCCATTGTTTTTTTTTTTCCCCCCCCACAGAGTAGTATTCCATTGTGTAAATGTGCCACATCTTCTTTACCCAATCTTCAGTTGAGGAGCATCTAAGTTGCTTCCAGGTTCTTGCTATTACAAATAATGAACATAGTTGAATACATGTCTTTAACGCATGGGTGTGGATCATTTGGGTATATGCCTAAGAGGGGGATTGCCGGATCCTGTCCTAACTAATTCCCATTTTCCTGAGGAACCGCCATACTGATCTCCAAAATGGCTGTATGAGTTTGCACTCCCACCAGCAGTGGAGGAGTGTTCCCCTTTCTCCACATCCTCTCCAGCATGAGTCACCATTGGTATTTCTAATTTTAGCCATTCTGGCAGGAGTAAGTTGGTATCTCAAAGTTGTTTTGATTTGCATTTCCCTGATAGCTAAGGATGTGGAGCACTTTCTTAAGTGCCTTTCAGCCTTTTTTGATTTCCTCTACTGAGAGTTCTCTATTCAGTTCTGTACCCCATTTTTTAATAGGGTCATTTGGTGTTTTGTTGACTAGTTTCTTGAGTTCTTTGTATATTTTGGAGATCAGCCCTCTGTCAGATGTAGGATTGGTGAAGATCTTTTCCCAGTCTGTGGGCTATTGTTTGGTCTTTGCCTTACAGAAGCTTCTCAGTTTGAGGAGGTCTCATTTATTAATTGTTAATCTCAGTGTCTGTGCTACTGGAGTTATGTTCAGGAAGTGGTCTCCTGTATCAATTTGCTCAAAAATCAGGTGTCCATAGGTGTATAGATGATAGCAGGGTCTTTGATATGATTCCCTTGATCCATCCATAAAAAGCATTTATGCCAGTACCGAGCTGTTTTCATTACTGTAGCTCTATAATAGAGTTTGAAGTCAGATATGGTGATATCTCCAGAAGTTCCTTTTTTGTACAGAATTGTTTTGACTGGATTTTTTGTTTTCCATATGAAGTTTAAACAGTTTTAAAGAGTAATTTTAAAATAAAAAGAATATCTTCCATCTTTAAACATAATTATTACAATAAAATAAAATACCATAACACATTAATTCATTATCATCCATCTTTTATAAAAATGCATATTAATCTCTTTAGTGGCGATAAACAGCATTACTTATGTTTCCCTTGAACTCATATTTCTATTCTACCACTCCCTAGCTACTTATCTCAATTGTCCTATCATTCTTAAGAATTCTCTTATTTTTAATTATGTGTGTCTATATATGGTTGTCTGTTCATAAATATAGGTGCCCATTGAGGCCAGATAATGATAGCCGATCACCTGAAACTGTAGTTATAGGTGGTTGTAAGCATCCGCATGTGGGTGCTGGGAACTGAAGTCATGTTCTCAGCAAGAGTAGGACATGCTCTTAACCATTGAACTGTCTCTCTAGTCTTCTTCAATCAGTTTTCAATATAAAGAAAATCATGTACATAAATTAAAGCTTAATTGCTTTAACTTCTGTGATCATCAACTTCTAAGTATTCATTTTTCTGATTGACTTCTCTTTTAGGTTGCATCATTTATGAATGCATTTAAGTATAATGCCACATTTAATAAATAAGCATTAAATATTAAAAAGGGAAATGTTAGACAAAGAAGATGGTTTAATGGGCAAAGTGCTTGCTGCATACGCATATAAAGACTTGAGTGTGAATCCCTAGCACCTTGTAAAAACCAGACACAGTGACTCTTGTCTCTAACCCCAGACACTAGAAAGGTGGATCCCAGGAACTTGCTGTCAGCCATTCTAAACAAAATGAGGTGGAGAGTGATAGAGGAGGACATCTGACGTTGGCCTCTGACTTCCACATATGCACATATATATACACAGAATAAAGGGGGTGCTGTCTATTCATGAAATTGGTGGATAAAAAATATGTGGTTTTGACTGATTAATACTTCCCTAATATATTGAATTGTGGGCTTTTTTGTTGTTTTTCAACATTCCTGAGACTTTTCCAGGCTAGACATACACAACAGAAAGTTTGTGATAATTAAGAATAGTGTTTTCTCATTGCAAAGCTGGGGAAGATGACTATCAGAACAGTTGGCAAGATGCCGAACCATGAGTACATTTTCCAGTGAACAAAGTTTGTTCATTGCCTTTAGACATCTTTAATCATCCTAAAACCATTCATGCTAACCCAATATAATGACTCTGGTATCACAGAGATTTCCTAAACCTCTTCTTTCCTAAAACATGCATGTAACAATGTTTATAGACAGTGAATGTTTCTAGTGCAGAGATTCCAAAAGCTACTCAGACAGTAGAATCCTGTTTTTCAATTCCAGATGAACACAGCTTTTCCCAGAAGTACCACAAGGAAAACTCAGCCTTATACATCCTTCTCTAGCTGAAAATTTGACATAAAAGTATTTCAAATTTCACTGCTGTCTTTTGCTCCATTAATAGTGTTAATACAAATTGAAAGTGACAGAAAATCAAAAAACCATGAATTAAACATTACTCTAATTTCACTTATAATAACTTTCAGTAAACAGGTTATCTTCTGTTGACTTATGGTACTATACTAAAGGCCAAATGTTTGGCTTTTGTTGCCCTAATGACTCTTTGATGCCTTAGTACCCAAAACAGAAAGGTCTTGAGCAGTAGGATGTGGAAGGACACATCTAGGAAAAATCCAAGAGCCAGTGACCTAGGCAGCAGCAAGAACCATCTCATGATCTTTCCTTTCCATTCATTTCAGAAAGATGATCCTGATGATTCCCCAATAGAACTCAGCAAAGTACAGAGTGTGAAGGCTGTGGCTAAGAAACGCCGGGATCGCTCTCTCCCTCGGGCTTTTGAAATCTTCACAGATAATAAGACCTATGTTTTCAAAGCCAAGGATGAGAAGGATGCAGAAGAATGGCTGCAGTGCATCAATGTGGCGCTTGCCCAAGCGAAAGAGAGGGAAAGCAGAGAAGTGACCACATATCTATAAAAGACATGTACACCACCTCTTACAAACATGCATGATGGGCATTGCCAATGTCAACAAAAAAAAAGAAGCCCCCCCCATGGCATACTAGGTTTTACTATACCAGTGAAACCATTATCCCTAAGAAGGAGGGCCTAAAATGACAGGGTTCTCTGTAAATCTCATGCCTTCACAGCTCTTATATTAACTCCAAGATATCTTCCTGAAGTGCATGAGAAAGTGAAGCCATAGAGTTCCTATTGGAGCATGTAGGGGGCTAGGAAGGGAAAGTTATGAATGAAGGAACTTCTGTAGCTATGTGATTTATGACTGTAAGAAAACAATAAGTGGGGCCAGTGAGAAGGCTCAGCATGTAAAAGGCACTTGCTACCAAGTCTAATAGCCTGAGTTCTAGCCCCAAAATTGACCTGGTGGAAGGAGAGAACCAACTCCTGGGAATTATCCTCTGTTCTCCACATACAATGGCACATTCACACTCCCAGAAAATACTTAAATAAATACATGGGATTTTAAAAAACAAATGCCTGAAAGGTCTACCTTGAAAAAAAAACTACCACATTATAAACATATTTTTAAAAAAAAAAAACTATTAGGAAAAGTTGAACTACTGAATGCTGAAGAAAACCAATAATTTTAGGCTGTGCAGTCAGTGCCTTTAATCCCAGCACTCAGGAGGCAGCGGTAGGCCAGTCTCTGAGTTTGAAACCAGCCTGGTCTACAGAGCGAGTCCCAGGATAACCAAGGCTACACAGAGAAATGCTGTCTCCGAGGAAAATATATAATACTCTGACAAAAGCAACTTAGGGGAGAAGGGGTTTATTTTGTCTATTGTGGCAGGGAACACGTGGCAACAAGGCAGAGAAAACATGGCAGCAGAAACAGGAAGCTGGCTGACTTTCCTACACAGAAAGGATGCAGAGAGAGTCGGGAATAGGGTAAGGCTATAAAACCACAAAATCCACCTCCACTGATGCACTTCCCCTAGCAGGGCTCCGCCTCCTAAGAGTTCCATAGCCTCCTGAAACAGCACTAGCAACTGGGAACCAAACATTTAAATATGTGAGCCTATGAGGGTTATTTACTATTTAAACTTCCACATTTTATTTCTCTTCTCAATACAAAAAGTGCTAACACATAAGATAATGATTCTTGTTACATAATTAAATTTAGGCTCTAATTGGCCTGTAATTAGATTGTCATGTCGAAGCACACAGTTATATCTACAGTCCAAGGCAGTATGATAGAATAAGCATGGAAAGATAATGTACATGGCCTCCCTTAAACTTAAATGTTGTTAATAAAAAGTTCTGTGTTTTTCATCTCTGTCGTAAGCCTTGTATTGTCCAAATTATCAACATGCATTGATTTTTGCCATTACCCATATATAATTTTGAATTAAGCAGCTTAAATGCAAACCATGCAGTGATCTTTTTAATGCACTGATTAGTTCATATAAAACCCTCCTGGTAATTTATCAAAGATAACTTTTTTCTGTAAAGATGATTTATTATGTATTTTGGTATAGAAGCCTGGAAAAAGACTTAAGTTGTCACTACAATGACACTACTGTTAACTCACTGGCATAGGAAATATTAAATGGGTCTTACTTGAGCAAAGAAACTTAATTCAATTTTAACATGTAGAGTTTGAGAAGATTATGAGCCACAGGAGCCATTACACATTGGAAATAGAGTTCAAGAGGTCAAATTTTGGGTCCACTGCATATGTAGGTAATTGTGAGAGATATGAAACTGGCTGAAATTATTGAAGGAGAATGAGAAATGGAAGAATAGGGTGGGCCCCTTGGGATAGCAATATGTAGGCAAAGGCAGGTAATATCTGATCAGTATTCAGACAGGATGTAGCTCAGGAGACATGATATTATAAGAGATAAATGAAGAAGGATTTTCAAGGTGTCAACAATTTGAAGTCCTGAAGATAAAGCTTGACTTTCATAATTAGGAAGAAATTGATGTCACTGGTAAGAACGATTTCATTGGAATGATGGAGTAAATGTTAACTTTCAATGTGCTATGGTAATTGACTGTCACATTTTAATTTTTTTAAGGTGAGATTAAGGTGAAAGAGCAAGGATAGATAAATGATTTTTTTCCTTTTGTTTTTAGGTGAAGCCATCTTAAGAAGAAAAAGAGTTTAATTAATGTAGACAAGGAAAGACAAGGTAAAGTTGCTAGATGTATTAGAGAATAATTTTTCAAGTTCTGTATCGAAGAGCCAGGGAAATGTCTTAGTCATAAGGGAGCTTGCCTACACACATAAGCTGCTGAGGTCAAATCCCCAGCACATACATGAAAAGCCCAGCACAGCTTTGGGAGCTGGTAACTGAGAGTTAAGATGGGTATATCCCAAGAGCTCCTTGGCCTGTCAGTCCAGCTGACATGGCGGGTGTGTGAAACCCTGTATGGTGTTTGGATGAGAATGACCCCCATAGGCTTACATATTTGGCTACTTGTTCCCCAGTTGTTGGAACTATTTGGGAAAGATTAGGAGGTGTAGCCTTGTTGGAGGAGGTGTGCCAATGGGGGTGGGCTTTGAGGCTTCAAAAGCCCATGCCATTTCAAGATGGCTCCCCCTCCCCAACCCTGCCACATGGCTGTTCTCACAAGATGTGAGCTCTCAACTACTGCTCCAATACCATGCCTGCCTGCCATGCTCCTTGCTGTGAGGGGAATGTGCTCACGCTCTGAAACTGTAAGTCTCCAATAAACTCTTCTATAGTTGCCTTGGTCTTGGGTGTTTGGTCACAGCAATTGAGAAGTAAATAACACCCTGTTTTAAGGCAAAAAGGCAGAGAGCTGTGGAGGAAGATACCCGATATTCTACTATAACCTCCACACTTGTGAGCAGATACTCACATACATGTGTCATATACATGAAAAAGACACATACACAAGCTTAATATAAATTAAATAGCAATTTACTATTAGTACCTGCTAAGCAACAGAGACCATACCTGGCCTGAAGATTCCAAGACAACCTCTATTCGCCCACCCCACGCTGGCCTCACAGCCCACAACTAGATTTTTATTGAAAGCAGAAGCACACACACAGTAATGCACATGAAGAGACTGACTTCCCCATTGGAGGAATGCAAATGGGGTTTGTTTGTTTGTTTGTTTGTTTGTTTGTTTTCTGGTGTGTTTAAAGTCAATTACAGTGAGACGGGGTCTATTTCTTTCTCCAAGAAGTTTACTATATAGTGAAAGAGACAGACAATTACAACAAAAGTCCCCATGCTTTCTGTCTAGTGCCTTGATGAAGTTATGCACACGGTCCTATGGAAACAGAGGAGATGATGTCATTTTGATGCACTCCCACACTGTTTGCCTGAGTTTATTAAACAAATATTAACAATATACGTAAACAAAGAGCAAAATAGCAGGATATGAAACTGCCCTGCAAATGTAAAGGAACACACAGACCATTCCCGAAATGGAGATTTTAAGATGGTATAGCACCATTACCAGGTGTTAGCAGATTCACATTTAGAAAGATAACCTTTATGGTAGTACAGATCAGAAATTAGAGCAAAGTCTGTAGGACATGGTAGGCTAGTGGCAGAGTGAATTCAGAATTCCTAGTATGCATGAAGGCCTGGGTTCAATCCCCCAAACTGCATAGAAAAAAAAAACAAACAAACAAAAACTACCAAAACAGTTGGAAGGCTCTTCTTAAGTGATGAGGACCAAGACTGATGCAGTAGCAGACACAACGTGGAGAAATGATGTGATTGTTTGGACATGGTTTGTGCACTTCCCCCAAGGGTTCATGGGACTCTTGTTCTCAGATGTTGGGAGTTGGTGAGACCTAATGAGGAGAAATTAGGTCATGGAGGGAACTGCCCCTTAAAGGGAGTGATATAGAGGTAAACTCCAGTTGATGGGGGGGTGGGGAGCATACCAGGCCCATCCCCAACCACACTGGCTTCCTGTTTGACCGGATGATGTCCCCTTCTTGCACTAGTGGTCAGCATTCAGATTTCATCTGCCACAATGTTTCTTTAGAGTCAAGCCCAGGCTGGTGTCATGTCCTTGAGCCTAAAGAACTATGAATTAAAGACATCTCTTTCCTTTACAAGGTTATCCAGACTTGGATATTTTATTGCACTAATGGGAAAGAGACTGATACAAATGGCCAGGCAGGAGAATTGGTTAAATTGGGAATTACTGAAATGAATGAGGACCCTGTTTGGTTGGAGCTGGAGGACAGGGACAGAAAATGATGAATATGCCCATTCCCAGGTACTTGCCTGAGAAGCTGTGTGGTGGGTGATGATGATATTCCCTGAAATTAAAAAACAAAAATAAAAAAATGGAAATAATTTGAGAAATAACAACCTCATGGGGATCTAACACGCTCTCTTGACCTAACACCCTCTCTTGGCCTCCGTGGGCACCACAAATGTGCACATACATACACATATACAAATAAAAAGCAAAATAAATCTTTTAAAATGCCATACAATGTTTCTTTTTTTCACTGACTGTTTAGCCTAAACTAAAAGGAGCATGGACCCCCAGCTTTATGTGCAGTGGGTGGTTACTTTTACTACTTATCTGTGATTGAGCTGACTGAATGCCTCTATTGGGAACATGGCTCTTGCTGCCTATAAACCAGATCCCTCAGGTTTCACTTCATGATGTACAGGCTCAGAAGTAAACTCCCTTGGTTTCTGAGTGGTTGTGCCACAGAATCATTCCCACCCAAGGAACTTTCTGTCACTGCCACAGCTGTTGTCTCAGGTGTACTACTGACAGGCCTTCTCAAGGGTGAAGAAGAAGCCACTTTTCCAAACATGCTGAAACATATCTAAAAATTATTAAATTTGTAATTGTAAACAGAAATTGAATTTGTTCTCATTTTTACTTCACTTTGACTCTTTTTTCTTGTAGAAAGCATTAAAACATAAATATTTATATTGCATGCTGTTGCGTATGGTTATTCTTGAGAACTTTTAATTTAGTAAAAAAATAAATGCTCAACAACTTTCTAATACTAATATTTTATTGGTCATGTCAAAACACACTAATAACTGGTTTATCTTCTATCT